CAGTGATGCCTTTCTTCTTTCTCTTTTTCTTCTCCCTATCTCTCTATCTCTCAGTCTCTCTGTCTCTCGCTGTCTTTCTCTGGCTTTCTAGAAGTCTCTCTTTCTCTCTGCTCTCTCCCGTCCGTCGCTCTCAGAATGTCTATCTCTCTCTCTCTCTCTCTCTCTCTCCCGCTACCTTCAGAGTGCAGTCGCAGAGGTCAGAGGAGAGGGGGGCAAGGGATGCAGGCTGATGCAGGAGACGACGGCCTGATAAATCGTGTATGTACACACAACACACAGACGTGCAAGTCTGGTTAAATCCTTCAGCACTTCTTACGCCCGCGAAGCCCTGAACCCTGAACCCCCCCCCCCGAAAACCCTAACAAACCGGCCCTCTGAGGCACAGACTTGCCAGGACCGCGCCGAAGGGCGGCGGATCAAGGCGTGTTTTTTTAGTTTTGGAGGTTTTGGATGTAGGGGGCTTTGGGGTTTGGCGGTTTTGGGGGTTTAGGGGTTTGGGGGAGGGGGGTGGGGGTTGATGCTTTGGGGTTCAGGGTTTAGAGGGTTTAAGGTTGTAGTAGCGGTGAATTGCTATTGCTTGAATTGAAAATGCTATTTGAGAAGGAGCATAGTTTCTGTTCTGGCTATTCCGATTACCGATTGCTGTTGTTACTCCTGTCCTTGTTTAAGGGGCTACGTCGAGGCATTTTTTCGGCAACTGCCTCAAGATGGGCCTAAATGCCTAAATCCCTTGAACCAAAAGCAACCGGATTGCCCCTTCCGGCCCTCGCGTCGCGTGGGCTCAAAAACTGCGATTGTCTTTGTGTCTGGGTAGGTAGTAGGTAGCCTTCAACTGGTTCTTCAAAGTGTTTACTTTCGGTAGGTCGGTAGGTTCTGTTCTGAGAGACCACACGGTTTTCAACAGTTTGTTGCAAGGGTTCCTAGAATTCTTATGTTTTTGTAGCACACCCTTAAAACGCAAAGGTTGACCTTCTACTCTAGTGAACTCAGCTGGTAGATGGTGGAACGTCACGTGGCGGTCTGTCTGTGTGTGTGGGTGCGTCACGTGACATTTGTCCATGCAGCTGTGTTTCATGCATCCTCCCAGGGCCGCGCTGACAGCAGTTCACATAAACACGCGGGGCTGGCAATCGAATCGAGATAGGGGCTTGGATAAGAAAGCCCCTCCTGCTTTTGTGGGGGAAGCCCGAAAACAGCACAGGTAGGGTGGCTGGGGTGGGAACAGGGTATGCGCGCGCCTCATATTTTAGGAAAAGTGCACTCCCGATGACTGATGCGCGCCTTGAACCCTAATTAAACTCCAAACCATATAAACCCCATGTGAAAACCGTGGACCGCCTGAATACATGATGTGCCCGCCCGCATTGGCTAGTACAGCCACTGAGCAGGCTCGCGACGTGCTGGCGCTCAGGGCTACCAGCTTCTCACACCCAAAACCCTCAACCCCACGCCTTAAACCCTAAACTTGGGATATTCCCCCTTATCCTAACAGTCCATTACCATCCCTATTAAGGACTGTTAGAATAAGGGGAACCCCCCCCCCCCCCCCCCAACCCTAAACCCTCAACTCCAAACCCCAAACTCCCAACCTAAACTCCCAACCCTGAACTCCCTAAACCCTAAACCCTAAACCCTAAACCCTAAACCCTAAACCCTAAACCCTGAACCCTGAACCCTGAACCCTGAACCCTAAACCCTTGGAAGGCTCGCGGCCTGCCAGGCGCCAGCGATGTCAGCTCTGAGGCCTTGTTGGGGCTTTGGGGTTTAGGGTTTAGGGTTTAGGGCTTGTTCTTGGGTTTGTTGTGGGTTAGCGAGTTAGAAGGTTTCAGGGTTTCAGGGTTACAGGGGCATAGGATCATAGGGTCATAGCATTATATAGGGTTCATTATAAGTTATAGGGAAAGAAGCTTCGCCTCTTCGCACAGAACAAATAGCGAGCTCCCTCCTCTCCACATCTTCGATACCGCCGAGGCATTTTGTAGCTTAGTTGGCGTTCGGCCAAGCCTGATCATCCAAACCCTAGACCCCCACTGCTTACAACGGATGTGGGATACAGATGTTCCGGCTCAAAACCGACAACCCGAAACCCTAAACCCCAAACCCTAAACCCTAGCCCTAAACCCTAAACCCTAAACCCTAAACGCTACACCCGAAGTGCTGTTTCGAAGCTCGGGCTGGAGATCCCACTCAGTCCGGAGTCACCGTGGAGCGACCCTTGTCACATGAAGAAGGCGTTGAAGGTTTTTGGGTTTAAGGGTTTTAGGGTTTAGGGTTTAGGGGTAGGGTTGAGGGTTGTAGGGTTCAGCCCTAAACCCTAAAACCCTAAAACCCTAAAGCCCTAAACCTAGACCCCAAGCCTGCACAGACCGAAACGACCCCGGAGAGCTCAGAGAAGAACGATGCCGAGAGTGGAAGCCTTAGCTGGTGGCAGCCGGATGAGGGATTAGGGTTTAGGGTTTAGGGTTTCAGGTTTTAACACTTGACAAGGGGTCTGGGGGTTAGGGTAGTTCGAGGCGAATATGCTTCCGAATTGACAAATCTTTGGATTCAAGTGCTGTTTGGCGTTCTTCGTTTTTGTACAGCGCTCAACCCTAATGCCCCTAAACCCTAAACCCCTAAACCTTAAACCCCTGAGCCCTAAATCCCAAATTAACCCTTGAACCCTTAGCCCTCAAAAACCCTAAACCCTAAAAAGCCCAAAACCCTACAACCCCTAAACCCTGAAAAACCCTAAGCCCAAAAAAACCCGAACCCTCAAAAAGCCTAAACCCTATAAAAGCCCCAAGCCCTGCTAGCTTCGTGAGCCGAGGTAGCGATGACGACTCTGACCAGTACTTCCGCTCAGCCAACGCAAGCTGCGAGGAGGCTCCACAGCGGGACAAGAAATATCCCCTAAGCCCTAAACAATAAACCCTAAACCCTAAACCCTAAACCCTAAACCCTAAACCCTAAACCCTAAACCCTAAACCCTAAACCCTAAACCCTAAACCCTAAACCCTAAACCCTAAACCCTAAACCCAAATGATATGGGTGCTGGGCCATGTACCTAGACCCCAAAACCCTAAACCCCAAGCTCACACCCCCGCAAAGAGGCCGCCTCGCAGCAAAGGAGCTCATCAAGCAGATCTGACGGCTGACCCCAGATCCTCCCTCTTCTGCTTTTTTCGGGTTTAGGGTTTAGGGTTTAGGGTTTAGGGTTTAGGGTTTAGGGGAGGGGAGGGCTTTGAGTTCAGGCTTTGGTTCTCGAAACCTTAAACCCTGAACCCTCTACTAGAGTGGCCAGCGATGCATGTGGGTATTTCCCAACATAGGGTTGTACCCTTAATATACCCCCCCCCCCAAAAAAAAAAAAAAAGTATAATCCTTATTATAGGAACCCCCCAAAAGGGTGCCCCCAACTATAGGAAACCCTAAACCCTAAGCCCTAAACCCTAAACCCCAATCCCTGAACCCTAAACCCTAAGCCCCCCCCCCCCCATTTTCGGAAGCCACCATGTAGTCATTCTCGCAGATCGCGTTTCACCTTCCAAGGTCATCGGCCACTTGAACCGCAAGGGAGCTGGAGTCCAAAGATCGAGTGAGTTAGGGTTTAGAGTTTGGGGTTTGGGGTTTAGGGTTTAGGGTTTCGGGTAGCGATAAGCCGAATCGGATATGCCACCGGCAAGAACCTAAGGGCGTTTGGGTCTGTGGGGTTCAGAGGATTTTTTTTAGCCTTTCTAGGATGAGGAGGCTTTAGGGAAGGAGGCTTTAGGGTCTCTAGGCTTCAAGCTCCTCAGCTTGCGAGGGGTTTGGGGTTTAGGGTTTGGGGTTTGGGGTTTGGGGTTTAGGGTTTGGGGTTTAGGGTTTGAGGTCTCCGACTGTAAAGCTGCTAAGTTCGACTAAGCAGGCATCAGTCTCCTGTAGGCCCTCCGTCCCTGCAAGCCCTATAAGCCCCAAGAACCCTATAAGCCCTGTATAAACCCAATAAACCCAATAAACCCTAAACCCTAAACCCAAGGCCACTCTTTGGGATTTCTGGCGCTGGGGCCTCTCACTTTGCTCAAGCTTTCCGGTTCCGGGTCGACTCAGCTTGGCCCGGCTCGCCGCACTGTGAGGTGGCTGTGGGTTTACCTCCTTAGCCTTCAAGCGTTTTGGGCAATTTTGGGTTTCCTTGTTTAGTAGGAATAGTAAAGTTGAACCCTTTTTTCCCCTTGGTTATTGGGGAAGTAAGCTTACGAGCCTTCTTGGGTTTGAGGGCTTTGAGGGGTTTAGGGATGTTACAGGGGCATGAGGGCTTAATAGGGGATTAGGGCTTTGTGGTCTGTCGCGGTCAATACCCCCTGCTCTTCCCTTCGGCTGCCCGAATTTTTTGGGAAGATTCTGGGAGATCGGAGCCACCAAAGCTGAGCGTTGGCGGCTGAGTGGCTGAACTCCCCAAGGCCCCAAAAGCCTTCAAAACCCCAAACTCTAAGACGCCCTAAATCCCCAAATCCCCAAACGCTAAGACACCCTGAACCCCCTAAATACCCGTCTAAGACACCCTAAGCCCTAACTCCCCAAACAACCCTAAATCAAGTACAAACGACCTTCGCGCATCACACTGCGGCTCTTGGCGGGCGCGTGGTTGTAGGTTACTTTGCGACTTAGCCCTAAGCCAAGTCCTAAACCCTGCAGCCCCCTAAAGCCTGAAACAACGTTCCGGATGCCTTCCTAAAGCCCCAAGTCTTACCCTTCAAGCAGCTGCAGGAGACGAGTTTCTTCTCAATTCTACACACCATGGGGTTTCATGCTTGGTCCATGTCTTTGTGCTGAAGTTTGGCGGGTTTACATCGGCCCTCTCTGCATCGAATCTCATCAGTTCCTTTGGAGTTGCAGCCTTTCTGGGTGGGTTAGATGGCCTTGCTTCAAGAGGCCTAGTTTAGGGTTTAGGGTTTAGGGTTTAGGGTTCAGGGTTTAGGGTTTAGGGGTTGAAAAGGGGCCTGATCATCCTCGAGCTGCACCAGCTGTCTTTGAAACCACCCATGGCCATGATGGCAGGGCTTCACCTGCAGAGCTTGCCACGCAGAGTCTTAACATCAGCTCCCTTGTCTTGCAGTGATGTAGCCCCCTCTGTAGGTGCGCGCGGCATCGCGAAGCGTGGGCATATACCCCGGCTGATGCAGCGCCGGATGTCAACGGATTTTTTGGAACAGCTGCCAACGACGACTTTATCTGCAGGAATCAATCATACCTGTGCCATTAGGACCGGTGGACTACTGGCTTGTTTCGGAGGGAACTCCAGCGGCCAGTGTGATGTGCCACATGAGTTGGGACCTGTTCTGGCCGTCTCCGCCGGCTGTCATCACACGTGCGCAGTGCGTGCGGATGGAAGGGTGGTCTGTTTCGGTCGGAACGCTGAAGGCCAGTGCGACGTTCCCCCTGATCTGGGGCCGGTTGCGGCAGTTTCTGCAGGCTGCTATCACACTTGTGCGGTGAGGGCTGATGGTCGACTGGTGTGTTTCGGAGAGAACCATGATGGACAGTGCGACGTGCCAACAGACTTTGGCTCGGTTCTCACAATGACGGCAGGCATCTGCCGCACTTGTGCCACCAGGACTGACGGGCGGCTTGTGTGCTTCGGTGAAAACCCGAGAGGTCGATGCAGCGTGCCTGGAGACTTGGGTCCTATTCGGGCTGTTGCCATGGGTGCTGCCCACACTTGCACTGTGACCGTGGAGGGCTACTTGGTCTGCTTTGGGATGAACCACTATGGCCAGTGCTCTGCGCCGCCAGACTTGGGCAAGGCCCTTGCAACTTCCGCGGGAACGCACCACACTTGTGTGGTGCGGGCTGATGGCAGGCTGCTGTGTTTCGGAGACAACTTCGAAGGTCAATGCAACGTGCCCTCAGACTTGAACTCCGTACTTGCAATGTCAACAGGCCTCCGACATACCTGTGCTGTAGGGGCCGATGGGCAGCTGGTCTGCTTTGGAGAGAACTACCAAGGCCAGTGCAATGTGCCTGCAGACTTGGGTCCGGTCCTGACCATGTAACCGTGTAACCTTGCAGAAGCCTGCAAACCAAGCGAGGCGTGCACCCCACGCACTGCACGCAGTCCGAAAACGAGGCAACGCTCGGCATCCGCAAGGAAGTTCTTGTACAATGTGGGGGCAAACCGCTGAAGCTGCTGTCCAGACCAACCAGCACGGGCCTCCGAGCTTAGACGTGCGATGATGCCGCCCGGAAATTCAAAGACCCACACACGCAGCAGTGGCCCAAACCCCTGGAATCCGGAGCTTCTGGGGAGGATCTGCGGCTCTTCGCATAGGACGTTTGTTTGTATGATTGCTATTCCCGAAGCCGGCCTAAACCCCAAAGCCGCCAAGCCTAAACCGAGCACAGAATTGGCTGCCGCACCCGCAGCTTGGGCGAGGAGCTCTGCTTTCCCGGGTCCTTCCCCTGATTTTAACACCCCAAACCCGAACCCTAGACTCTCATAACCCAGAAACGCCCAAGATTCCCTAATCCCTGAGCCCCAAACCTGACAGCCTGAACCCAGCAACCCCGACAGAAAGCCGAGAGCTTGCCGCTCCGCCCGACGACACCCAAGTTGATCTCACAGGTGTGGTGACATGGGATCGAAGTGCTGTTCGGGGGAAGAGGCGCCGACTTGTTCGGGGGAGGGCTGGGGTTTTGCTTCTTCAAGGACATTCCGACCCGAAGGTACTTTACTGGTAAGGTGGGGGTCATTTAGGGTTCGGGTTCAAGGGCTCAATCAAACAAAGGTCCTTGGCGCGAAAACATGGCACTCCGGCGCCACCCTACCTCTGTCCCTGCCAATGGATGATCCTACAGCTCCAAGAGCTCGTGGGCCTTGAGTTTGGAACAGACCCGATAAAACAGAGACCCAACGCCGCTCCAAAACAGTGCCCTAAAACTCCCTGGTTCCTAGTAGGGGGTGAGGGAATTAGGGTCCTAAAGGGTATATATGTAGGGTACCTCATTCCCCCATTCCCTACTGAGAACCAGCCAGTAAAGCTCCAGAATAAAAGCCATGTCCACCTTGGTCCCTCAGACAGACCAGAGCTCATAGCCAAGGTCAAGCGACAGCATTCAAAGCATAGGGCAGAACCTGGCAGGTAGTAGATAGTAGATAGTAACTAGTACATTTCAGCATGGTATAATGGTAGAACCTAAATCTTAGGTTATCCCGAATTTCAGGAGGGGCATAAGGCCCGAAGGGCTCATCTACAGCCCTCGAGCCTGTAAAGGGCACAGGGGCAAGAGACTAGGACAAGGCGGTCTAGGGTTCTCAGGGTAGTTTCATGAGGGCTCAGGGTTGAACCCTTGAATTGATGCCCGTGGTCAGAAAGAAGATCCAACCTCATGTACCGGCGAGCAGTGGTACTCTGTGGTAGACGAGACTTGGACAAGATGCATCATGATGACAAGGGCAATTCGCGATTTTGTGAACGCGAATACATACCCAGGAAGCACACAAGCCGTAGACGTAGTAGCAGAATTTTGCCGAACATGGCGTGGACGTTCCGCGATGACGACGATCCCAGAGTCATGTCTTTGCCAACCGTGGACAAGATTCGGCCCATTGACCCGCCAATAGCAAGGCGGCCTGACATGTCAGCACCTGCTGTTATTACAGTGAAGGTGGTTCTGCTCAGTGGCCGAAGCACGATGGTTTCCAGTAGACGTGGAATGGTCATTGGATGAGCTTGTGCTCGCTGCTGCAGCAGGTCATGGCTTTTTCTCTGGTAGATTGCTAGACGCTTCAGGGCGTGTTTTGCAGGGGCCAACCTCGATAGCCCATGCTGGCTTGGTAGATGAGGATGTGCTCACTTTGCAGATGCGGCAAACTACCATTGTGGCAAATAAGTATGCCTTTGCTGCCATCCTTCCCGATGGCAGAGTGTGTGCTTGGGGAGATCCCGAGTTCGGTGGCAGTTGCCCGGCCATTCAGCACAACGTGGATAATGATGTGCAGGAAATCCAGGCCACAGAAGCGGCGTTTGCTGCCCGCCTGGCAGATGGATCTGTTGTCACGTGGGGCTTGCGCGCTGATGGTGGCGACAGTAGTGAGGTTCAGGAACAACTTATCAATGTGCGTGAGATCCATGCCACGTGTGGTGCTTTTGCTGCACTTCGGCAGGATGGGTCTGTGGTTGCCTGGGGCAGTGAGAAGTATGGTGGTCGCAGCAGCGCAGTCCAAGATCAACTCACACATGTTCGCTCGCTTCATGCAACCGAGTGCGCGTTTGGCGCCGTTCTAGATGATGAAACAGTGGTTACTTGGGGCATGCCGCGTTATGGTGGTGACAGCAGTGGTGTCCAACACCGCCTGCGCCGAGTGAAGCAGGTTCATGCTTCACAGCACTGGTTCATGGCAGTTCGGGAAGATGGAGCCGTCGTTATGTGGGGCCAGGGCGCTGTCAGCAACGCAATCCTGCAGAAGATGAGGGCTGTTCAACAATTCCAGGAAATCAAAAGCGATTTTGCTGCACTTTTGAGTGATGGCTCTGTCATCTCCTGGAGCAGAAGTTACGATGACCATGTCCCTGGTTACAGATTCGTCAGAAGTAAGTTGACGAACGTGCGGCGGCTGTATTCGACAGAGAAAGCATTTGCTGCTCTTTTGAACGATGGAGCTGTGGTCACATGGGGCGCTGAGTTTGCCGGCGGGGCTGCCGCAGAAAAGCTGCAGAATGTGATGCATGTGTATGCTACTCGAGCTGCTTTCGCAGCACTGTTGCACGATGGGAGTGTAATCACGTGGGGCGACATGGAAGCAGGTGGTGACAGCACGAGAGTGCGCAGAAAGCTCAGACAAGTGAAGCAGATTGCTGCTACCCTAGCTGCATTTGCAGCTCTCCGTCTGGATGGATCTGTTGTTACTTGGGGACATCCTGAATATGGCGGAGACAGCAGCCAGGTTCAACTTAGGGATGTGCAGCACATCCATGCAGCTGATGACGTTTTCGCTGCTGTTTTGCGCAATGGAATGATTGTGACTTGGGGGGAACCCCAAACACCTGAGATGCGGCTACCTGCAATGGGCCTCGTACCTTTGAGCAATGGCCGAGCTTCGTAGCAAGATGTCAGAGCCTTAGTGAAGACTCGGTCTAGTCAGACATTCTTGCCGCCAAAAGCCCTGGCCAGGCAGGTCAGTTTCAGCAAACAGGGGCCTCCTTCACATAGCACGGCATGTCCCGCGCCAGTATATACCTCGTATGGTCCATAACCCTGGAAGGAGGCACCAGGACCTCAGGAGACTGTCCGGCCGACTTGGCGACCCTTCTCGGCCTGAAACCAAAACGATGCCCCTGTTTCCGTTAGAAGCCCAGTAGACTGGACTCTTTTGCCTCTGCGTTCGTCCCCTCCTTTAACCACCAAACCTCAGACCACCCCTTGTTGTTGGAGGCCTTCACTTTCTTGTAGGGTTCAGTGTGACCCTAAACCCTACACCCGGAACCCTAGACCCTCAACCTGAAAAACCAAAACACCCTGGAAGGCCTCGGATCAGCACGATGGTCGCGGCGAGCGCGTGCACGCTGCGTCGGGGCGCCCAGTTCGGATTCGGAATTCAGGGCTTACATGGGTTTAGGGTTGAGGGCTTAGGGCTTAGGGTTGGTGAGGGCACTCTGGGGGTTATGATGGGCTTGAGTTTAGGGTTTCTGGTGCATCCGAGGTTTGGTCCCGAACCCTACACTGCCCACACCCTCCACCCGAACGCCTGAACCCAAACTACCTGAACCTGAGCTCTGAACCCTGAACCCACTACTTGCTGAAGAACCCCCCCCCCTCCACAAAGAAAGAAGGGAAAAACTTATAGGGGCAATACAGGGATCATTTTTTAAAAATATGTTTTTGGGGCTCTTAAGCAATAGTTCAATAGTAGGAACCCTCAACCAACCCAGCCCGCAGCTGCGCACGTTTCAGGAGTTATCGCGAAGAGGTCGTCAAGGCCACCGCGGTTTGCTTTGGACTCCGTAGTAGGTTTAGGGCTTAGTGTCTAAGGTTTAGGGTTTTTGGGAATTTAGGGTTTTACGGTTTTATGGTTTTAGGGTTTCGAGCTTTTAATTCGAGGGTCGAGGGATCCACACTGAAACTGTGAAGACCCCAAAGAAACATAAACAAGTCCACCTTAGAAGGGGCCTGCATGTAGCTTCTTAAGGTATAGGTATACTTCCGGTATTCAACAACCTACGTTAAGCTTATCGGCGTACTTCTCGCACTCCCAAAGGTTACGCAGTGGCCAGAGATGGTGCTGCTTGCGGCAGAGACAGGCATCCAAACCCCGGATGTAATAAAAAAGCTCCTAAGCTCTGAGACCCCGCAGCTCCGCTAGCGCGGAAGCCCCGAAGGCTGAGATCTCGAGATGTCAAACCCGGATCAAACTCCTTCCCAAGCCTGAACAAAAATCTAAGAGGATCACAGATTTTTTCAGGTTGGGGGGGGGGGGGGAGTTGGAGGGGGTTTAGGTGCTTCAGTTTGGGGGTTTGGGTTCGTAGAATGTTTGCAGAAAGGACCCTAAATCTTACTAGCCGACATAGCCCCTGTATAGGCATCATTTCGTGGCCCTAGATGTCAGGTCTAGGGTTCCTAACAAGGGGGGGGCCCCTCCCGTACCCCGCAAGCCTGGGGGGGTGGATATTACATGTTTATGTGCATATATCTCTATGTTCCAACCTGACTCTGCTGCAGGACGAGAACGCGCAGGCGCGACAGTGGGCTGGGCCTCTTGTGCTGGCTGGAGCACAGCTGTCGTACTTACTGTCAGGGTATATCTGATCCCGGCTCTCGGTTCGCCGACCCCGCCCTGGTCTACCCTCCCCTAAACCCCCCAAGTCCCCCCCTCCCTAAACCTCAAACCTGAAACCCTAAAGCTTCAACCCTCAGCCTTAGCCCCAACCCCCCCAACCACACAGGGGAGGGGAAAAGGGTGACCCCTAAACCTTAATCACTGAACCCTAAACCTCGGCGGGGGCGGGGCGGGGCGGGGGTTAAGGCTTGCCACACCGAATATGTATACACATATATACATATGTATATGCATTGAGTATTTTGTACGTTGTTTATTATGATGTGTTTTTGATAATGCACAGCTTTTTGGGTTCATAGGGTTGGGCGGTGGAGAAGTACCAACCATGCATCCTCCGCACCCTGACCCTAACCAGATCGCTCCGGCTCACTTTGTGAGATTTTATTCTGAGGCCTTCCTGCAACTGTTGCAGGAGATTCTTACACATCACTCATGTTCTCAACCCTCAACCCCTCAGCCCTATAAACCCCCAATAGCTGCCTCCAGATTCGCCCAAACCCTTCGCAGGGTCTCTCCATCTCGGCTCTTACGCGGAAGGGCCCCGAAACGCGCGGGCCCTTGCGAAGCACTCTTTTGTGTTGCGATAGGGGTGCCGTGCTTTCAGGCGCAGTTGGGGTGATCATCAAAGGCTTAGCAGATGTTTGGAGCTTCAGATGAGGCTGTTTGAGGATGATTCAGGGTGCGGGTTTTGCGGGGTCCATGGAGTGTCACGCATGACTTGAATCACTCCCCAAGGTTTCGAAGCTCCCTAAGTTCCCTTCACAATCTGTGAACCCTAAACCCTAAACCCTAAACCCTAAACCCTAAGCCCTAAGCCCTAAGCCCTAAGCCCTAAACCCTAAACCCTAAACCCTACTCTGAGCCACTAAGGAAGGATGGCAAGGAGTTCACCGTGAGACTGAAAAAGGCGGCCACAGTCGGAGAGCGGACTGAGTCTGCCGTAGGGGCAACTTCCGGTTTCAGGGTTCGGGATATCCCATGTACTTCTACAAACAGATCGTCCGTATATGGCTCGTATATTCCCCCCCACCCCCCCGCCCTCCACAAAAAGCCTGAACCCCAGAAAACAGTCCCCAGCATCTGCAAGCAGAATGCTTTCCGCACAGCATAAGGCAGAGAGCGAGGGCTTAGGGTCCTAAAGCCTGAACCCTTGGACCCTAAACCTGGGACCCCCAAACCCCAAACCCCAAACCCCAAACCCCAAACCCCAAACTCCAAACCCCAAACCCCAAACCCCAAACCCCAAACCCCAAACCCCAAACCCCAAACCCCAAACCCCAAACCCCAAACCCCAAACCCCAAACCCTAAACCCTAAACCCTAAACCCTAAACCCTAAACCCTAAACCCTAAACCTCCCTCAACCAAGGCTTTAAAAAAGATCTAGTGCCGCACTCTGGCGCCAGACTCTCGAGCAAACACGGCTGGGGATCGATGTCGACCTGACTGATGGTCTCGGGGTCGTCGTGGAACAGGCATGGGTGGGTGAGGGTTCAGGGTGTAGGGTTTAGGGGTTTAGGGTGTAGGGTTTAGGGCTTTAGGGGTTTAGGGTTTAGGGGTTTAGCGTTTAGGGTTTAGGGTGTAAAGGTTTACGGGTTAAGGGTTTTTGAGATATAGGGGTTTAGGGTTTAGGGTTTAGGGGGGGGGGGGTTCCGAACCCTAGTGCACTCAGATTCGAGTTACAATGCTTGGGGCATGATAGGGGAAGGTCGGCCAGGTATTCACAGGCCTTCAGCCCCAAAACCCTGAGACGTAAACCTCCTGGGTTCTGCGTAGGGAGCGAGGGAACTAGGCACCCTAGAGAACCCCTTTACAGAGCATATGTAGGGGGGAATTCAGGTGCCAAATTCCTGAGTCCTCGCCGGAAACTTCCAGTCTTCAAAGACCCTCCCGCCGAAAAACCCGAGTGGCTTTTGCTTTAGGTTCCCTAAATAATCCTAAGCCCCCAAAACGATACAAAACCCTCAACGTCCCTAAAGCTTAACCCCCTAAACCCTCAACCCTCAACCCTCAACCCTAAACCCCAAACCCTAAACCCCGGAAAACCCTGAAAGCCTGGAGGTCAACCCAGGCCTCATCAGGGACTGGAACCAGGCCATCCGCCAGTCTAAGTTTAGGGTTCGGGGGGAGGCGGGGTGGACTTAGGGTCCACAGGGTCTAGGGGCTTCATCGGGTCTAAAGGGTCTATCGAGGGGTTTGCATGTGGGCCAGGGTGTGCAGTTCAGACCTTGGGCTGGTGAGGGGGGCGGAGTGGGGGCTACATAAACATTGGGTAACCTATCCCCTTGAACCCCTCTCCCTCCTAAACCCGAAACCCCAAACCCCAAACCCTAAACCCTAAACCCCCCGGCCATTCAAGTAAGCAAGGGGTGGACACGAATGCCCAAAGCCCTGTAAAGCGACACCCCTAGAATAGTGAAGCGTTGTGGTGGGCTGTAACCTTGAATTTTCCCAAAGCGACACCTGCAGACATCAAGCATGGATAACTGGCGCTAACACCCTGTAAAGCGATGGGAGCACTTGAAGAGCGACACCCCTCGTGTTGCGTCCAGGCAAACTTTGGACACTTTCTGTGGCCGAAAGCCTTCATCTTACGAGCTCCGCGCTCGAATCTTTCGTTTACATAGGGGCCCATTGCGGGTGGGTATCCCCCATGTACCCCCCCCCCATGTAACCTCTTTTTGTCTTTACCTACATATATATATATATGTATCTATAGATACATATATACATGTATATATAGATATATAGATATATATGTATATATAGATATATAGATATATAGATATATAGATATATAGATATATAGATATATAGATATATAGATATATAGATATATAGATATATAGATATATAGATATATAGATATATAGATATATAGATATATAGATATATAGATATATAGATATATAGGTATATAGATATATAGATATATAGATATATAGATATATAGCGGTTTTTAGTCCTTCGGTAGCCCTGTGCACAGGCCCATCCAGAGCTGACACTGCAGCGAGGGGACAGGCCGACTGGATGGGACTGCGATGCAGGGCTCAGGGTTTGAAGTTTACATAGTTTTTTAGGGCTCAGGGTCTGATTGCCCTAAACTCGAACCCTAAACCCTAAACCCTAAACCCCAAACCCTAAACCCTAAATACTCTTTTGAAACAAGGTCTGTATAGGTATGCTAGGCCTAGGACTAGACAGGGCTCTGTGAAAGCGATGCTGCCCTGCTGATTTGCTGCTGCTTCCCACGCGCTTAGGCCGATAGGCCCAACTTTGAACTTTTAGAGGCCGATTCGGGCTCTTTGCCCTTTGCCCCCCCCCCCCCCCCCGCCTAGACTTGGGTTTAAAGGGGCTTAGGGTTTAGGATTTAGGGTTTTGGGTTTTGGTTTAAGTTTAGGGTTTAGGGGTGCTCCGGCGAAGGATAATGAAGGTCAACGGCATCTCGAATGCTACCGAGATAACGGAGGCGGGGCAATCGATTCTCAGTGTTGGCAACCATATGGCCCGCATCCGACTACCCTGAAGGCGACTTCAGTTGTAAGCGTGTGTGCTTGGGGGCTTGGGCTTCAGGGGAATGTGGTTGTCGAGTTTCAGGATACTTCCTGCCTGCAGATGGCTGGGTGGAGAAGTGCGTGGGAGTCTCCAAAAGAAGGTTCCTGAGATCTTCTGTAGTGGGCCGGAGTCTGACACAGTTCTTGGGGTCTTTTCAGAATTTGTATGGACCCCCTCGGAGGCGAGTTCTTAAACCCTTGACGCACCTGAAGCTCACGAAGACCACCCTCGTGGGAGCCAGATCTGCAAGAAAGAAGATGAGCTGGAACTCACGGTGTCCCGGAAGTGAGGCACACCGCTGGGCGGCCCAGACGTGACATCGACATCCTGAAGCATGGTTTTTATCTTCGATGGTCTAGGGCTTCCTCAACTCACAGTATTCCTGTTTAGTGGCCTTCTGTTTCTGGGCTGAGGTCCTTCAGTTTAAGCTATGTCATCTTGGGCCTGGTTGGCTCTTCCAGCCCTTCAGATCGTGGTGTTCCTGCTTCGTAACTTCGCACTCGGTGTTAGGAGAGGTTGAGCTCATTTGCTGTCTGAGCAGAAGCCGGATCTGCTGAAGGAAAGGATGTGCCTGTTCCGGGTTGCGCTGTTTGGTGTATTTACACAGCTTGCGAACCCCTTGAAAGCCCTGTATTTACAAATACAACGTATATGCAGCGGCTGGAGCACACGTGCTGACTCCCCAAGGTTTGGAGCAGTGCCCGCAGCGCTGGACCTGGTGCGTGAAATCTCTCACCCCGCGTTGGCTTGACGAGGTTTGGTTGGTTAAGGGAGACAGTAGCCCAACACACACACACACACACACACACACACACACACACACACACACACACACACACACCCACGTACGCATACGCATACACATACGCATACGCATACAGATACAGATACAGATACAGATACAGATACACAGACACATGCACGCACACACACACACACAAACATAAAGGAGCGTAAATGCTGTTGCCTGTGGCATGTCAGCTACTGTACTCAGCTAGTTTGGTGACGAGCAGCAAAGTTTATGGCCTAGTAGTCCAGCTACCGAGCAGCACTGCCACCACATGAACATCCACTATAGATCCCTGGTTGAGAAGCCTCCATCTGCTGAAAACTTTGACGCGCGCTGGGCTTGTTGTCGATTAGGGGAGCAGGTGTCGAATTCTTGGCGTCTGGGAGTCTCATGAAGGGGCTATCGTGAGCGGTTAGCAATTGTTCATGCGCATGGCCACTGGACTATGTGCATTATGTGCATTGTAGATGCTGCCAGGCACTGGGGTTGCGCAAGGAGAGGCCTTTTCTTCCAGTTGTCCCTGGGCCACCGAGATTGTCAGAACAAGAGCAGCTGCCCGTTAAGTAACTTTTAAGTCCGAAGTTCTACCTCCGGAAGCCCATCTTTCGATCCTCCTGCCTTGGCAGACATCCAAGTGCACCCGAAGAAATCTGAACTCCTCACACACAGGGCATATCAAGCGTCGGCAATCCCGAAGCTATTATTTGATCAAGAACCGCCAAAAACGAGAAGATAATAATCCCTCCTTCAGTTCTTGAGCTCATTTTGCGCAACCCCAGCTGTGTTGAAGAGCAGGGTAGCCGAGCAGGGTCTGTCAACATGCCCACTCCATGGCACAAACTACGCTAACCAAACCCTAAACCCCCCGAATCACTCGTCCTGAAGCTCTAATCCCAAGACCCTAGACCCTAAGCCCCCCGAATCGCTCTTTCTGAAGCTCTGATGCCAAGTTTGAGTTGAACCTCAACAGAATCTAGGAATCTGTTCGCAAGCAGGGGCGTGGCCCTGATTCAAGGGATTAGTACAGGAGCCCCTTTTTACCGCTATTCCTTCCTCCCCTATGACTGGAGCTTTTCCGAGGGGGTTTGGGGGTTACAGGGTTTTGGGCCGTGTGATGTAAGGCATCGGGGGTGGAGGCTAAGGTTTCCGTCACACTTGGGCTGGCGGAGGACCCTGACCAAGCTTTGTGTGCGGCTCTGCTTGGGTATGTGTCGTTTGCATGGATGCGGCCGCATGAGGATTCACTGCAACCTTCCGTCGGCCTGTGTTTCATCCCCGGGGTCCCCTTTCGAAGCCCAAAGCCCTGAACCAATGAACCCTATAGACCCCGAACTCCCACCCCCCAAGATTAGCCTGGCAGAGAACCCCAAGCCCTGAAAGCCTACGTAGCCAGTCTCATTGGGGGTCAAGAAGGATTTAGGGTTATAGGGTGTAGGGTTTTGGGGTGTGCGGTTTAGGTATGCGGGTTTCCCTTTTTGTGGCATTCCGATAAAGGGGATGTTCGCATTTTGGGGTGCGCCCCAAATGTACCAAGCGTGGTTCTGGCATTCATGGGCATGTAGGGCATCAAGGGTATGTAATGTAAGCCCACGTCGGAACACGGACCCTGGGAAAGATAATGCTCAAGGAGTCTTCTGCGCTGCAAAGGCAGGCGCAAGGATGAGCGAACCCGGGCCTTGCAACCGTGGCCTCTAGCTTTCAGCGTCGTGCTCTAGAGCTTGCGCTGTCCTGCAGCATGGTGGCCCACCATGCAGGGCAACCCTAAACTGCCTAAACCGCCAATGGCCCGGGTCTTCGCGTGGAGTCGCGCCCAGATCTGCACAGCTGCTGGTGAGATGCCGCTCGAGGTGTCATGGTCCTGCAACCCTGTGGCCGGTACGCACCCACCACAAAGCCAAGATTCCAGAACTCAACCCTAGAGCCGAAACCCTAAACCCCCAGCTACCCTCAACGACCCCTTTTCATCTCGAGCAGAGCCTCCTTGGCAGCCCGCAGCCCAGACGCTTGCTCAGCACGGAAGCTGGTCCAGAAAAGTTGTGCCAAGCTGCAAATCCCTGATGAAGCGAAACCCTTTGCCCCAAACCCTTCATCCCGAAACCACAACCCCGGACCTGGTTATCGTTTAGGATGTAGCATTGAAGGTTTAGGACGTAGGGTCTTAGGTCTTGACGGTTTCATGCTGTGGGGTTTCAGGTTTCACATTTATGTATTTGTTGGAGAATTTGGGGTCTCAGGGTGGGTCTGCGAGTTGGGATCGTAGTGTTAAAATGGGCTTGTAGGCTTGAGGATTTGGGGCTTCGGGTTTCGCATGTTAGGGCTTGGCACAGGTCACCTGCGTCCCCTTCTCTACTGATTTTTCTACCACCCTCAACCCTACCTCCCGAAGACCTACACCCCAAACCCTAAACCCTAAAGCCTAAACCCTAAACCCCCAAACCCCTAAATCCCTAGACAGCCCTCAACTTCACGACTGCTGCAGCCAACCCGGCCCAAGAAGCAGGAAGCAGCACCAATGCTGAACAGGTGGGGGTGACCCCAAACCCTAAACCCTAAGTTTAAGCCCTAAGCCCTACACCCTAAACCCTAAACCCGAAACCCTAAACCCTAAACCCTAAACCCTTGCCATCCTTCTTGTTTGCAGGGTGTTGGGGGTTTAGGGTTTTGCGGCCGCAGCATCACTCAACCCTCAGACGAGTTCTAGGGGTGTCCCGGTTATGGCCTTATTCCATTTTTCAGGGTTTAGGGTTTAGGGTTTGGGGTTTAGGGTTTAGGGTCTTGGTTCCCCTTCCTGCCCCACCCGCGGAATCGTAAAATATAAAGGCTGTTGTACTGTTGGACTGCTGGAACCCTAAAACCCTATCACTATTTCCCAGGTCCCCGGCCCCAACCCTTGCGTTCTTCCTGTCTTCCGCTGGGCGCTTTCTCCTGTGACTCAACCCCTTCTTACGGCATCCTGCACGCGGTTGCCGGATATCGGTAGCCGCTGCAAGAACGAAGCTCCAAACTCAGAACCCTGATGCCTTCAAGCCTAAACTGAAGCTCTAAACCCCAAACCTGAAACCCTAGGCTCTATGGTCTATGGCTTTATCATCCTCTCTTGAACCTAAGCCCTACACTGAAACTCTAAACCCTCAACCCTCAACCCTAAACCCTAAGCTCCAGACCCCGGCTTGATCATTTTTTGTGAAGGGGAGGCCAGGATGTAACCCTAAACCCTAAACGCTGAACCGTAAACCCTAAACCCTAAGCTCCTTTTTCGAACCGGAGGCCAGGATGTATGGCCTCTCCTTGGGTGAGACAGACGACGAGGAGGCTCTGGCAGTTGCGGAGCTCAGGGTTTGGGGTTTGGGGTTTGGGGTTTGGGGTTTAGGGTTTAGGGTGTAGGGTTTAGGGTTTGGGGTTTGGGGTTTAGGGTTCAATTCCTATTCCTCTCACAGCACTGGATTGCTGAAAGGGAGCTTAGCCGATCGTACTCGTACCACTTGCGGAAGCCCGTTTATCTACTCATATTCGAGTAGATGATTGTAAGTTCCTTAGCCGCCAACCCAGAGTAGCAAGGGGTGGTTGATCCAGCTCATCGTCTTCGTTATGTAGTGTTAGAGGCTTCGTCATTTAGTGTTAGAGTACCCCAAAAAGGCCCATCTTTGCCAGTAACCTTACAAGTCCACTCTGAGACCTGAACCCGAAACCCTAAACCCTAAACCCTAAACGCAGTTTCTCCAGGACTTCTCGGCCGATTCAGGCTGGATACCTTGGCGGCTCGCCTGACACCTGATGCCGTTTAGGGTTTATGGTTTAGGGTGTTCCCTCGGGTGTAGGGTTTTGGGGGGCCCAAGAGGTGGCGGGTTGGGAAAATTGTCAGCTTGTTCGGGAGGCATGTATGTAGTATGTCGGCAGGTATGTAGGCAGGTATGTGTGCCCCCTAAACCTTAGCCCGAAACCCCGATATCTTCAAGTCAGCAGCCTGAGCCATCCATCAAACGAAAGCCCCACAGTCAATCCAAACGCAAAACCCTAAATGACTACGTATAATTATACAAGTGTATGTATGTATGTCTGTCTGTATGTATGTATTTTCTTATTTATGTACATTAATATTTTTACACAGACTCCTGGACAGCAAAGGGCCCAACAAGTCCACGTGCAGCCGAGGTTCTGTGGACTGAAAGGCCACGAGCTCTTCGCTGAGGTCGAGGAGGAGTATGCCACCCTCCCGGTCGTGGCGTTTAGGGTTTGGGGCTTCGGGTACAGCGTGGGGAGTTGGGTTTGGGGCTTAGGGTTTGGGGTTTGGGTGTAGGGCTTTCGATTTGGGGTTTGGGGTTTGGGGTGTGGGGTTTGGGGTTCGTTGCACCATACCTTTGTTCTCATGCTCCTTCAGGTTTTCGGGTATGAATTACCTCCCTGCTGCTGCGCAGAATGCCGGGTAGCTTGGTGGAGTAGCACCACTTGGAAAGTCTGTCACGTAAGATGCCGCCACTGCTAGCACAAACCCTAAACCC